CAGGCTGCGCTGCCTCCCGGGCAATGGCTCAGTCGCAGCCCCCGGTAAATCTCTTGCCAGCCCTGGGGACGCTCAGCTCTCTCTTTGGTGCAGAGCGGGACGGTGCCGCGTATGGCCCGGAGAAGGGGGGCGGTGGGGGCAGGCGGGTGCTGCCTCTGCGCCCGATGCTCTGCCCCGTCCACCTTCCTCCTCTCCTGCAGCGGGTCGCTGCTGGGAGCAGCGCTGGGCCGTGCCCCCTGCGCCCGACCCCCCCCAGAGAGGGGGACGTGGAGGGGTGTGGAGGCCCCCTGGTCCCGGGGGTGGGTTCGTGCCTCAGCTTCCCCACCGTGCTGTTTCTGGCAGCCCCTGGAGCCCCGGGGTGCTGGGAAGGGTGCGTGCGGAGCCGGCAGCGCCTGCTGCTCACCCGGCCGGCGTTGTTTGTGTTGGTCAACCCTCGCATCCTGAGCCCCCGCCGCACTTCCAGCCACAGCTTCATCACGGTTACAAGAGAAACAGCTCCCCGCTGCCGGCACGGCCCCGGCCAAGGGGAAGCACTCGAGCAGGTTTTGATGCTGAGCACCCGCATGCTTTCCAGGGGAACCTCACCATCTGTGTCCTCCCCAGATCCCTGCTGGCCCTGCGTGCAATGAGCTGGGGGGGTCTCAGCAGGGACGTGCCCATCCCAGTGGGGTGCTGCCCTGCAAGCTGTGGCCCGGGGACGCAGAGGGCAGGGCTGCTCCGTCAGAGCGTGTGGGCAGAGCGGTGCCAGCTCCGACCTGCTGCGCTGCCGCTGCGCCAGGGAGCCAGGGCACGGCCGCGGGAGGGAGAGGCGCGGTGGGAAATGCCTCCGCTCCCCGCGCTGCCAGGGCTGTGCCCAGGCCTGCCGGCAGCAGGGACCACGTGGAGGGCAGGGTCAGGGAGGGCAATAAAAATAGATCCCTGTGACGCTCGGTGCTGCTGGCTCTGGCTTTGAAGCACGTTTGCGATGTGGGCACAGCCCCAGGACTGGCTCCCACCTGCTGCCGGACACACATCACCCCGTTCCCCGGGTCAGTGGCCCCCGGATGGAGATAAGAATGCAGGGAAGGGCCCAATTCCCCTGTCGGATGCTCCGCGTGCAGGCAGTCCTGGCTCTCAGCTCTCCATGGCCAGGGAAGGGCGGCATGGCCATGAGTGAGTGAGGGTGCATCTCATGTCCTGGGGGTGGGCACAGGGCCCTCCCGTGAGTGCTGAGGCTCCCGGCACCCAGGGCTGGGGGCATCCCACACCCGAGGCGGAACAAGGACCAAGGTTTTTGGTGCAAAGGGGGGCAATCCCCCTCAATGGGTGCCAACAGGCTGCAGCCAGGGGCGGGCTCTGGCCAGGACGTCACCTGGAGCAGGACTGGTGCCGTGCTCTGCCCAAAGGCTGCCCACCCCCTGGGGCTCACCTGCGGCCCCGAGACGACTCCGTGCTGCGTCGGCACCATGGCACGGCGCTGGCGGGGGCAGCTCAGTGGCGGGGTGAGCGGGACAGCCAGCCTGGTCAGCGGGGCCAGGCATGAGGCAAAGCCACCACAAACAAACCAACCCAGCCGGTAACTGAGAAGGAAGCAGCCAGGGCAGGGGGGAATTAGGGCTTCGCTGCCCAGCTTCACCGCGGGGCTGGCCATGCCCCCAGGAGGGTGTTTTTGGAGGGAGGGCTGTGGCGCCAGCAGCCACCCGCCCGGATGGCCTCAGCCGACCTTCCCTGGGCACTGCCTTGCTGTCACGGGGGCCTCAGGCACCGCAGCCCCTCGGCATCCCTGCCTCAAGCTTCATTTGATGCTTGCTGCTGGACTGGGAGGTTTTAATTTTT